ATATCCCCCCCCAAAAAAAAAAAAAAAAAAAAAAAAAAAAAAAATGCCTCAAACAAGGAAAAATAAGACAAAGAGTAAACAAGAGACTGACCCTCCCCTGGAGGATACTCTGCATAATAGGCCTACGTATCCATGTATAGTCTGTAACATAAGTATTAACGATGATGACAAAGCAGTAGCCTGCAACTGTAGTGACGTAAGTTGGTACCATATAGGCTGTGTTAATGTTAGCGATGAGCAGTATAGTATCTTAAGGGACGAAAACGACACACTAGTTACATGGGTTTGTCGTAATTGCAAGGCATTGTCTGTAGCACATAAAAAAGACACTATGGAAGATAAGCAATATAATGAAATAATAAAGATCCTACTCGATGATATAACAGATCTTAAGAGTGAAATAGATAACCTTAAAACAGAAAATATTAGGCTCTCTGAAGTAATTGCAAAAAAGACTGAAGTTATTTTTAAACTTGAACATGCAATCTGTAATATAGCTAATGACAGCAAGCAGGTAGGGCCAAAACCAACAAATGAAATCAGCAATAGAGAAACTGAAGCAAAGAGTAGGCCTAAGAATGTAACTACTAATATTACTACCGAGAATAAAGCCCAAAACGCACTGCCTACCAAAAACAACGTAAATAGGAACGAGCATAGGGGTAGCTCTTCTAAATCCGTAAGTAAGAACGTCTCCTTTAGCGATAAACTGAAACAAAACACCATGGTACATGAATATGACTCTGTTACCCCTGAGAAGGAAATTCGTAGACTTCCACTAATTATAGGTGACTCGTTATTGACTGACACCTCTAGAATTATTAGTAAGTCAGAGCACAAGGCAAATGTGAAAGTAATCCCCGGCGGAAGAATACAGGATTTCAGTAGATTCCTCTCTGAGCAAAGGACACTTCCAAAAAAGGTTATTGTAAATTTTGGTTCTAACAACATGTCATCAGCAAGAACCCCGAACCATGTAATGCGTCCACTCTGGCTGGCTATTGAGGCATACAAGAAACTCCACCCAGGGACGGACTGGTATGTGATGTCAATACCATATAGATATGACAGTTACCGTAGATTCATAGAGGAAACCAACAATGCACTACGATTCATGTGTGCGCAGCTGAAAATAAATTTTATTGACAACACAAGCCTATTAGGAGAAGAACATCTGAAGTGGGACGGAGTCCATCTAAACAGCGAAGGGGCGGAGATCCTGACCAGACGCATCATTGACATCATCGGACCTGTTGCAGAGGACGTAGATGAGAGCCATGATGAAAATCAAGAGCACCCAAACTCCAAGTCACCGACTTCCCCGCAGACGACATAGCACACCGGCCAAAACCCACCCCCCACCAGCCTAACAACCAACATATCCGACAAGTTTCCAACACACAGCACAATATTAATTTCCACAAACCATTAACTATCTTCCATCTCAACATACAGCGTGGACTACAAAACAAAATTGACAGATTGCTTATAGAGGTAGACAAAATTAGGCCTGACATCTTGATCCTGTCGGAACACGGTCTAAAGAGTGAAGAGCTCGCAGTTACAAATATTGAAGGATATGTGCTGGCATCACAATTCTGTAGAATCCATCACATGTGGGGTGGTGTTGCACTTTACCTAAGAAATAATTTTCATATCGACTCAGAAGAAATTAAACTCCAGGAACTGTGTACGGCAGAAGAACAAAAATTTGAGACTGTTGCAATCAAACTAAAATATAAATTCTATAACATCATACTGATTGGTACATACAGATCACCTGATAGTACTACTGAAGAGGATTTTCTAACAAAACTGGCACACGTCTTACAGAATTACACCACGAAAAATAACTACTGCCTGATCCTAGGCGACGCAAATTTTGACATTTTGAAGCCTGACAATCGGGGTGTAAAAAATCTCCTATGCCTGTTGGCTGAATATGGGTGTTACGCATATGATATTCCTGTGACGAGAAAAACTCCAACATCTCTCTCTAGTATTGACGGATGTTACACCAACTTACAACCAGATGAAATATCTGTACAAGCACACCTGACCAGTCTTTCGGATCACCACTATTTAATATGTAAAGTTAAAAATAAGAATAAACACCAGCCAGCTACCTATAAATACTCAAGAAATTTTTCTAAGGCTAAATTGAAAGAGTTAAAGGAAAAACTAAGTACAGTGGATTGGGCGCCTGTTTATGCATTGAGATCTGTGGATGAAAAATATAACAACTTTCTAAGGATTCTTCGACTCAACATGGACCACATTATGCCTAAGGAACCAAAGAGGGTCTCAACAACAAACAAAAATATTTTTTGGGACAAGGACATCTTGGAACAAAAAGCAGCTCTGCAAATTGCCCACAACAAATATCTGCTCACTGGTGCAGAGGACGACAAGGAAGGTTTCCACGACATAAAGAGAGCTTACGACCAACAAGTTAATAGTACACGAAGACGCCACACTGCAGAAAAAATAGCTCAGGCTGACAATAGAACTAAAGCTATATGGAATATAGTTAATAATGAGAGAAAGAAGAGCACTACACAACAAAAACAAATTAGCCTAATGCAACATGGCAAACTAATACATGACCCTTATTACGTGAGCAATATTTTTAACAAATTATATACACAGCCTACCCTGGAACATACCACCAACCAACCAGAAAATGACATCAAGCTGATGGAACCTGACAGAGGAGTGCCACCGTTGTCTTCTTTCAACTACATATCTGAACGGGAATTGGATAAACTCTGTAGCAGTATTAAGCCTAACAACTCTGCGGGATTTGATGATGTCACAGGGAAGATTCTCAGGTTCTGCAAGGAAGAGCTATTAAAGCCTGTTTGCCATATTATCAATAGCTCCATACAACAAGCCACAGTGCCTGAGAAGTTAAAGATAGCAAAAATCTACCCTGTCTTTAAAAAGGGCGACAAACATGAACCCAATAATTACAGACCAATTTCAAATCTGCCAGTCATATCTAAACTGCTTGAGCGTGCTATTTATAACCAATTATCCACCCACCTTCAAAACTACAATCTTTTATCTCCATGCCAACACGGTTTCAGAAAGGGTCATAGTACCAACACGGCAATAGCTCATCTATGCAAAACCATAAATGATCTGTGGGAAAATAAGTGTAGCGCTTCAGCTCTTTTTTTGGATCTACAAAAAGCCTTTGACAATTTAAACTGGGAAATTTTTCTTCAGAAACTTAAACTGTTCAATATCACGGACCTAGCTCTAAATTGGGTTAAAAATTACCTTGATGACAGGCAACAATTTGTCGAATTAGGCTATCAGCACCACAACACAATTGGAACCGTCAAATCATCCTTAATGAAAACAGTGGTAGGAGTCCCACAGGGATCGATATTGGGTCCTTTGTACTTTTTAATTTATATTAATAGCCTACCAGAGTCACTGAACCATAATCTGAGAACCATACTCTACGCAGACGATACAACAATAGTAATCCCTACAAAGTACCATGAGAACAATAGCAACATAGTCAATTCAACCCTGGACGAGGCTACCTCTATCTGCAAGTCTCTTAAACTCAGCATTAACACCACAAAAACCGTTCACATAAGTTTCAAGCCAAACAACAGTAATAGAGCTGATGAGGACTGGCAAGGATTGAAGATTCCCGTTACCGCATCAACCAAATTCTTGGGAGTTATTATAGACCAAAACTTGAGTTGGCAAGATCACACCGACCATCTCTGCAAAAAATTAGCTACGGCTCACCACGTAATTAGACGCATTAGAGCTATAACTGATGAAAACACTGCAATTCTGGCCTACCACTCACTTTTTTCTTCCCATCTGCGGTATGGAATCGTCGCCTGGGGATCCACCCAGGAGAAGAACACAGACCGCATCTTGGTTCGGCAAAAGAAGACCCTTAGAACAATACTGCGCCTGCAACCCTCGGAGCACTGCAAACCATTTTTTACCCAACACAAAATCCTTACCGTCTATTCCCTCTATATCTATGAAACCATAATCCTGGCCAGACAACAATCCCCAACCCTACGACAAGAGAAACATTCCTATAACACTCGCAACAAACACAATATTGACCTACCTCAGCATAGACTCCAAAAATTTAACAAAACCCCAACCTATTCTGGCTCATTTTTCTACAATCTCTTGCCTCAAGACCTAAAAAATCTACCACCAACACGCACATTCAACATAAAACTTAAACAATACCTTGCTGATAGGCCCTACTATAAAATCTCAGACTTTGTGTCTGACCACACTTTCTCACGTCTCGCCTCGTGAAGAAAGAAGACCCTGCAGTTTGAATTGACGATTCCCCGATCGACTGATCGTGGAGAAGACGCCGGATGTAAGATGTAAGATGTAAGACTGTTGGGAACAGAACAAAAATACTGTCAAAAGATGAACTAAGTCTAAAGATAAGCCATCGTAATTTGGTTCTCATTACTTGGGACTTGGGGTCCATATAACATGATCTAGAGAACCATACCAGTTGGGAACATACTGCACAAACCAAAGTGAAAAAATACAATTGTATTAACAATAAGGAAATAAAAATGAGGGAATTAGGCGGAAACAGTAATATAATTTCCATTGATTGGTCTACTATTACAAGTTCGTTAAATGAAACAGAAAAATTACAATTTAACCAGGAAGTTAAAAAACAGGGAATGAAAGCAGAAACAATTAAACTAATTCCACTAGATCGTTTCAAGAAGTTAAAACATTAACCGAATTCGGGCGACAATTCTCCCTCACAAACAACCTCGCCAAACTGCGCTAACCGGATATCCAATCGGCGATAAAATCAACAAAATAATCTGTGCGGTAATTACAAATCCTTTTTACGGTGCAATAAACCTATTAAAACTTAAAAGTCGGGTTTAAGGCTTTCTGATTGTCTATTTATCTGATATTCAAGCGCAACATAAACACCTCGGTGGCTGCGAGGGTGGTGGAGAGGGGGAGGCGAGTGTTGTGATTGGTCGTGTGAGGCCACGCCTACTGCGAGTGTCCACCACTGCCGCGCCACCGTCACTCTGTGTGAGTGAGTCAGTGCGCTAGTAGTAGTGGCAGTCGGCAGTGTTGTGAGTGTCATGAGCGGAGACATGGTATACTACAACCCCCTGATGTATAGGGGTCAGCAAAGCCCCGTAGTGCCCCAGGGCTATACGGGATGGTATCCGCCGGGTTATCACCAGCCCCAGCAGCAGTTCCTGAGCTGTATGCACGACGCAGGAGAGCAGCAATGGTCACACCATCACTTCTCGCCAGGAGACTGGTCCGTGGAGCCCGAGAGTATCCTACCATCCCCTAGTGTCACAGTGCAGAGTACCAGCGGGGGCAGCGAGCTGTCTAGCCCCGGACTGCCCCAGAACCCTCGACCTCCACCAGCCCGCAGCCCCTACGAGTGGATGAGGAAACCCAGCTACCAGAGTCAACCCAACCCCGGTGAGTCACAACACATCTCTCATATCCTTGAAAAAGATTAAGCGATTCATTCTAAAATCTATCAAAGAGCAGCAGCTTTTAAAGTTGCGTTAGGATTTGTTTTATTTTAAATTAGTCACGAATCTGTCTTTTGGAGACTGATGCAAAAGTGTCATGAAAATGAAAATGTGTAAGTTATTTGACAGAGTTGGTTAAGTAATTTATTTTCACCGGTTCCACCATTTGTATTCAATTTACTGGCATTAAGCATGGCTAGCTCTAGCCCCGGCCGTTAAAATGATACAGGACAAACATCTTTAGATTTATTTGTAATCAGCATAATAGTGTTATATGTGATGGCTGTGGTCTGAGGGATAATTGCTCCATTGCACCCCTCTCTACCTAACCCTAACCTATCTTGTAGGAAAATGTTTCTTCATTGATCCCCCCAAGAAAGCCTAAAAACTCTTGCCTCTGTGCCAATTTATAAAAGCGGCCCTGTTAATAAGCCTATGTGTACTATGGTGTAGTAAAATTCCGGATGATTGCCATTATAAAATTGTTCAAACATACAAATAACTAACAACACTTGAACTACTTGAATAAAACTATATACTATGTACTATAAAACTATGTACATATAAAACTATGTATGACTATGACTATGTATTCGTGTTATTTTATATAAAATATTCAACGTGTTGACATGTTAAAAAATTTAACGTAAGGTACTCTAACTTAAATATTTGTTAGGTTGTGGTATTTGTATTGGTGTATTACTGCTTCGTACACAAAATGTTATTAATTGATCCGCGATCAAGATACGGACCAAGGAGTGTGCCAAAGCAGATTACAACGGGTCTGGCTGGGTGTTGGGGATTTGATGTATATCGAAGTTTGTGATTGTTTTGCTTTTAATATACCATGTTAATATTAGTGGTCGAATATTTTGTAGGAAGTGCAATCATGGTTTTTCTATTGAAAGTTTTTATAATATTTTTTGTCTTTAACCTCCTTCCTAGGAATTGAATATCAAAATGTGGTAATCGTATTCACTAACGAATCTGTCTAAAAGCGAAGCCCCTCCCCACAGCACAGCATCTTAGGTTCTCGGTTTTTATAATTTAGTGCTTTATTTCGACAGTATAACCATATTGCATTGAGTTCGGCATCTGGTGAAGACAGCATGTATTATGATTATGCTGAACAAACGTACAACAAGCAAATGTGTAATAAATAGATTACAAAAAGGTAACTCAATATTACTATACGACAAATGAACTTGAGAATGTAAATATCGATTAGCTATGAGGGGGCGGTAATGTAATACTGAAAAATATTTATACACAATGCTAATTCAGAAATGATAAATTGTTAAAATGACATACACAATAATAGCCTATAATTGACCGGTTCTTGTGAAGTCTTCATCTTTGACCGACACCGACACTACTGTTAAGTTGGATCGAATTATACTTTATACATTTATTTATATATTTTTATATTAAATATTAACCCAGTACAAGTACATTCACACCGCAAGCTCATTTGTTTCTGCTCGCAGACACAGCAAATTTGGGAATCCCCGAGGCAAGGCGGGGTAGGCGGCTAGTGCCCCTTCTCGGAATCTTTTTATGCTCTGGTCGAAGCAACTTTCTGGCTTTTAGCAAGTCGACATGTTCGGAATATTTTGACCTTGTGGTATTAGTTAGTTGTATTGTGATGGAACGTCTCGAATCTTGCAGTTCAAATATTGTAGAAAGCTGCTCTGACGACGCGTTTGCAAATTAATATTTGTACAATTTTATGCACCAATAGTTAAAAGTATCCTGCAATAATGTGTTTTGTAATTTTACTTACTTGATTGATGATTATCGGTACTGGTTTCATTTATCGAAGGCTGAAAATGTTTGATGGATTAGTCATTTTGGGTTTGGATTAAAAAATAATTTTTACCATAGTATCACGAGCTCAGCTATAAGTCATTAAAGTGGATCTCGACAACGTCGCAATTGCATTTTGCGAGTAAATAATTATTAAATATAAACTTAAAAATGAAAAGTATAAAAACCTCTTAATTAAGTAGGCTATTAATTTTAATCAGCTTTTCCTCGTTATGAAAAACTCTTGCAATTTATTGATATAGTGGGAGTAGTTCACAATGGCCAACATTCTAAAAAGTGTACTCATAACACAAGAATTTGTTATTCTGTAGCCCCGGCGCAAACTATTTTAAGAACTAAATATATAATGTAGCGAGCAATATCACTATGCAATCACTATGTAGGCTACGCTACAGTTTTATTCTATTATGATTTGGCTCGTTTTGCTTGATGGGAAGTCACATAGGATAATTAGACCGCTTGAGTTTTCTTACTTCTAGTAGTAGTTCTTAAATCTTGTTCATTATTTTTATTCGTGTTTTAACTTCGCTTGTTAATTTTTTTTTCTGAACATAATTTTTTTTGTTGATAAAAGTTATTTTTTTTTTTGTCCCATATTCGCAACTCTATTTTGTCGTTTTATATTGTGTCTTGCGTGTTTGACGTCCTTGGAATTTTACGCGATCTTTTTTAACACCCTAGACCTTTTGTTTGATGTCGTCGTCAATTTATATCCCAATGAAAATAGCATCTATCTAGCCCTACAATCGAATCCGCTTGGAATCGAACCGACAACCTCCAGGCTGGGAGGCGATCACTACAACACTCGGCTAGTCAGACAGAAACAAGTTGTCGTCTGTCGAGTATCGAGACACCCTGTACCCTGTCTACACCCTTGTCTTTAGCGAAGGACACGCGTCGCCTCGCAGGACATTGTCTACGTGTCGGCGAGCCTCCAATATATCCCTGCTGTCATAACTGTTGTGTCCCTGTCTACCTGTCTGTCTTCTGTCTACAGTGCAGACACAAGTCAACAGCACAGGCTATGATACCAGCACTCGGCAGTCACCAGGCACGGCGACGTTGTATTTGGTTATACACTTACGAGCGATCAATAGTCTTTAAAAGAACCGTTAGTTCACGGTCACGGATTTATTTAGTCATATTGGGGGGATCGGGAATCCCAATGACAATGGACAGTACAGCAGTATACCGATTACAGTATCCGACTGCAAGGCACGGCAGGGTTGGATAAGCGGCAGACTAAAAAACCAGAGGCCATCAAACGTGTTGAAGATAGTTAATATCTCCTTGTCGAACCCACTCAAGCACTAAATCTAAACAATAAGAGTATTGTCAAAAAGTGCGTGTTTCCACAGACAATGAAATGCATCCGAGTACACACAGGGGGTAAAGGATTTTTCTACACAGTTGCGGCGTTTAGTCATCAGTCATACATACCATAGAAAGGCGTACAGTACCTAGGTACACAATACCTAGATACAATACCTACGTGGTCTGGTCATGCTAGGCGGGGTAGCGCGCGATTTCACAGTACATCATGTACTCGATGCGCCAGAGTCGAATACGGAAGGTACAATTGGACGATCGAGGCTGTGTTTTTTTTTTCTGACTGATGGTCGAGACTCAACCGTTTCATCATCAATCTGTATCTTATATAAAGATGATTAAGTTGAAGAGATTTTTTTATCGGAAGAAAATAAATTATAGACTACTTCAAAATCCTAAGAGTTAGGCTACTACTGAAATATATTTTTTTTTAGAACGATTGTAGCTATACACTAATCAAATCTAGAATTTTTGGAAAGTATATCTGCAAGTGGAACGTGCCTCGCCATAAAAAAATCACTTCTGATCAAAGGATTTAACTAGGCTATATCATAATTAATTTAAATTGTGAGTATGAGGCGAATTCATTGAATACGTTTGCGTAAATAACGCTAATATGAATTTATTGAATACATTTGATTAAATAACACTATTTTGAAAACTAACAATAAACTTATCGATTAATTCAATGAAAATATTGAAGTATCCGAGATCATAAAGTAGTGCAGGCAAATCATTAGCACAATAATTATATAATATAATATTACACTTTCCTGTAATCTGTGTGGGCTTAAAAATCGTGCCAAACTATGCCACTTTAGAGGACATTCACTACTATTTTAATGTAATAATATGATTTAAGTTTATCAGTAGATGCTAGTTGCAAGGTATTAAATTCCAGGGGTTTATAATTTCGCCGATCCCCTTTTAATTGTCTATCTATAAATATAAATCAGAAAGGCTTTCTTCATCCGTTTACTTGTGACATTGTTGCTTTAGTCTCCCCGAGTTGTATGTAACGTAATGGTAGTTTTGTCGTTATCTCCGACACAAGACTCTTATCAGTGTTAATCCGCCGCGTTGTCAGATAACGCCTGTCCCCCCCGCCGGAACCGCGCTGCCAACATCACAAAGCTAAACCACCGGAACAATACAGGGAACCGGGTGTACCAACATTAAAATATTGTGTCACTCGCGGGTCATTCTGATGATACTAAATCTAAATTTTAAATTTAAGAGTTTGAAGGAAATTAAAGCGTTTAGCGATTCTTTTTGAGTAAATACAAAGGGATACTCTATTCCCGTGTTCGTGATGTACCTCTCATCCGAGATATTTTTCACGTTAATCCATGAGAATGTATACTAGGCCTAATGAAAATTGATGTAAGAAAATTCAGTTAGGCTGATAAAAATTCAGATCATCAGGTTTGTTTATGCTGCATTTTAAAGGGGGTTCTTTAATTATGTCTACAGTAGACTCCCTCTTATCCGGACTCCTCGGGACCGAGGCCAGTCCGGATAACGGTTTTTCCGGTTAAGCCGACGTCCCCAAAAACTCATTAAAATGGACCGTTTACGGTGATATTCGACTTAAATTTAGGAGAGCATTGTATTTAGACATGTGATCACTGGTCTCAAATCTTTCCCACGAGAACAGTCGTTACAGTACCGTCCACTTCCTGCCGATCTAGTCCGGTTAAACCAATGTGCTGATAAAAATTGTCCGGTTAAAGAGATGTCATTTGCGTCGAGTGTAGTCCGGTTAAACCGATGTCCGGTTAAAAGGTG